AAACCATTCTGGTCATCTTGGGTTTTAAAGAAAACGTCATTCACATCAATACCAAGATACCCAGCAATGTGATTATAATATAACTAATAACAGATGTTAAACAGGGCCCTATCTTAGAGTTATAACACTAACCATAACTCCTAGATCTGCCATTATCCTAAGAAGGAAGTTGTTGCTACAGAAAGATTAGACCCAAGATCTCCTCAAAGAGCCTAAAGAAGAGAAATGCTCATATAAGGAACTAATAATTATAACTAGCACCACAACAACAAACACGTACTGAGTGCTTATGAGGCGTGTCAGGTATTCTGCTAAGCATTTTACATCTCATTTTCTTTTAGGGACCAAGGGTAAAATATTCTGAAATTTGGCTGAAACAAATGAATGTCTGGGTAGAACTGCTACCTCTATAGACCATAAATAATAATAATAATAGCAGTAACTTATTTATACTGTGTCAGGTATTCTACTGCGTGTCTTATATGTCTGATTTCATTTAATTCTCACAATTGTACATGGGGCAGCTATTAAGATGTGCATGTTACCAATTGGGAATCATCTCTCAGATGACAAATCACTTGCCCAAGATCACAGAATTTTTAAGTGTCAGAGTTGGGATTCAAATCCAGGCCTCACTTAAAGCCAGTGCCTTTAAATGTAATAGTATATTTATAACCACAATATGCTATAACCTGCCTCTTTGAAATACAAAAGGGTAGCTTGCTAGGATTGTAGTATTCTAGTGACTTCTATCCAGAGAAGTCCACACCCAAAAGCATGGAAAGAGACAAAACCTTGCTTCTTCCTCCCAAGCATTTGAGATCTATAAAAATTAATACTTAAAATTTGTGACTTTGTAAAAGAGAATCATACTTTACTTATAAAGGCAAGAAGACATTTAATAAAAGTTTTTCCTTGATGCTTTACTTTATATTAAATCCTCCATACCCCTAAAAAAATTTTGTCATTAGGTGATTAAAAAATCTGTTACTAAATAATGGCAGTATTGGAAGTCATGAGAGAATAAGACACCCGTGATCTGATGCTGGACAAGAGAACCAAATGCCAGGTGGCCTCACTAACAAGACAGAGATGTATTTCCTACTGTTAACACAGAAATTACAATTTTGATCTGAACCACAAGTTTTGATATTCATTCATTCATTCACTCATCAGATATGTTTACTGAAAATGTACATGGCTTTGGAATTAAGGTCTTAGAGAAGAAAGACAAAGGCCTTGGTCTCAAGAATATTACATTTAATGAATCACATCTACGTTTCCTTAAGTATGCATATTCAGAAAGAAATTCTTACATTTTTCCCAGACTATAAGAGAACTTCTCTGAAAATAGATGATTCAATCATACAAAATGTACTGAATCTGGTTTACTTCTGGGGAACCTTACTACAATGGTAATTTTCAATAAAATAATTGGGGTGAAAGCCGGGCTGTGAGTTAGGAGTTTCCGGTAGTAGAGGTGTGAACGCATCCCAGCTCATTAGACGATGACACTGTTGACAAAGGTTGAGCTGAAGTTCACTTTCATTCATCTTGTGTCTTTTTTGGACTCCCTTCCCCAGCTATTTTCCACCGCTTTAAAGTGTTCCCTATCATTTTGGCCAAATGCGAATTGTGATGGAAAGGACATGATACTTTCAGCAGAATTACTTAATTAGGTTTAAGTAAGCACTACTTGCCAAGTAGGGTAGGTTTGCTTTCTAGCCATAAAAATGTGCCTGCGACACTCGCTGCATTCCCAAGGAGAGAAACAGTGATTGATGTGATGATAAAACGATGAAAGGAAGGATAAAGCCTGAGAGATAAAAGTCTCAAAAGGGAAATAAAGGAGGGTAGCAGCTGCCCCCATCTTAATTGAAGCATAAATTTCAGGAACAGGATCTGAGGTTTAATGTCAAGCACATACTGGGAGAGTTTGGTGTGTGTGTGTGTGTGTGTGTACCCATGTATGTGATGAAAAACGTGTAAGTTAAATTCTTTTCATCCTTTGTATGAAGAGTTTTCAAACCATTTCTAAAAAAGGAAAAAGTTGCAAACGTAGAAGTTTATGGATTATCGCTGAGAGATACTCATTTAGTCAGCGTTTAACAGGGAGGAACAGAATCGGCGATGAGCAGGAACCATTCCAAACACTGGTGACACAGCACTAAAAATAATACATTTCTGTACTCGTGGAACTGAATATTCTGAGTTTATCGTTTCTCTCTGCACATACCTTCCTTGCCCCTACCCCACCCATTGTCAGGGTCCTTTCCTTTAAGCACAGATTTGACTACATCACGTCCATATTTATAACACTACAGCTGTGCATGCAAAGCACTCAGGTCCAACCCCTACCTCTATGCTCCGCCTCTTCCTGGCTTGCCTCCCGACTCTCCAGGGGCAAGCTTTCCCTTCTCCAAAGGTAACATTTATTTTTACATCAGGGTGGCTTTGCAATACTGTGCCCGGAGCTTAGAATGCTGTCATACCTATTTTCCATCTAGTTAAAATTCTCCCCACTTTTTAGCTGTGCTGCTGAAATGCCTCCTAAGCCTCAAAGACCTTCTAAAACTCCAGTCAGTTTAATGGCCCTTTATCTTAATTTATGGAGAATTCTGCTTGAAATATATCATTAAACTTTTTAGTTCATTCTACCTAAAGTTGAACTATTTACATGTCAGTTTCACTTTGTGAGATGAACTCAGAGCAGGGAGGGTTGTTAAGACTGCATATCCCATTCTATGGGGCATGCTATTATCAGAAGTACTTTAAAAAATCTCACCTTTTATATTTTGTCTTTCTAGCGTAATATTGCTTCTACATCCAAGCACACAATAATGTAATCCTGAACTAGGCAAACCTTTACTTTTAAAATGCTTTAAGAAAGAAAAATTGCTGTTAAGCTAAGGAATAGTACAAATTTTTGTGGCTTTGTTATAAACTTTTGAGAAGCAGAATTGGGAAGCCTTGACACTTAACTTTATGGAGAAGCTAACATGCATTGCTATAAAAAATGCAACTGCCCTTCTTATAACAGAGAACAAAAATGAATTTAAAACTAATATAAACTATAAAGCTATAATGTATAAATTTTTTGTTCATTTTTAAAGAGTTAACCTTTAACTGGGAAAATATATGAATTCACTGTCAAATCTTTTATGTTCTTGGGGCCCTTCTATATCATATGTTTTTATACAGGACAGTGGAATGTACTATCTCTGTACCTCCTAATTAACAGGATTTACTTCAAAAGACTGTCCAAAGAGAAAAGACATTATGTTTCTTTATAATACTCAGATCAAAAGCCCTTGTGTTCTTTTACTATATTGATAACCTACACAGTTCAGAAAGATAAAGTATTCTAAAGAATAAAAATTCTGATCTCACAATAGAGGAGAGCTCTTCCTTTGTGATACAATAAATAAGTGCTAATAATTGCATTATCACATGATTACCTTCAAAATAGATTTAATTTTATCCTTCTCCTTTTTGTTTTTTTCTTCAAAGTCTGATGTTTTAACATACAACCCAATTTTGTTGAACATATAGAAGTACACACAATGAGGATGAAATTTATTTTGGACTCAGAGACTAAGACAAACATTTAAGAATATGTAAGTCTATCATGAAGCATTCTTGCTTTAATTATTTGCTTGATTTTAATGCTACAAAGCCTGGAAGTAAGTTGAGCTTTATTCCCCAAATGCGTCCTGCATTTTGATGTCCCTTTTATTTACGTACTAGCAGAATTCTTCTAAGTATGGATAATCCACGTTGTCACTAAGCAGGACAATCGTCCACAACTCAGGTCATCAATAAGGGTTTCTGCCACGAGTCTGGTAATCTACACTCCTTCTAACAAATTTGAAATCTGTGTCTATTTGAGTTTTGTACTCACTTGATATCATCTTATAGAGAAATAAGTTATTATGGGATTGGGGAGGGATATTTACCAAACTTTAAAGAATCAATTATTCTCAGTCACTTGAGAAGTTCTCTTTTACATCCAAATAATTATCTTAGGCTATAATTTATTGAGTTCCATTTATTTTCATAAAGTAAGAAAGCTATATTTATAAAAAGTTCAAGTGACTTAGAATAATCGCCCTCCTTTTTTTTCTCAGTTAATGAAGTTTACGTATGTTTTCTGTTTCTATAATTGAACTTAAAGAAAATCTTACTTTGGGGTGCATAAAATTCCAAGAAACTGTAAAAGCTTTGATGGTCTTTAAGTCAGAGCCCAAGAATAACTTGTGGTTCTCCCAGGTATTTGCTGATAACAACTTCAAATTATGTTATGGAGGAGGAAGACAGTTAAGAAGATCTGACCAAACTATGGGTAATAGTGGAGAAGAGTTTCCAAAATGAAATAGAGAAAAGTAGCAAAAAGAACACTTGAATAAAAGTATAACATTGTAAATTCTAGGAGCCACAGTAATAACAAAGTATGTCATTGTGTCACCATTTTAAATAATACTTAGAGGAACAGAAATTAAAGTGATAAATACAAAGAAATAAAAGGCAGACTAATGGTATTATCTTCTAAATAAGAGTAACCCCGAGGCATATTTATAAGATCATACACTATTAACTGACACATTTCTATATCATGTAAAATACAACTACTTAACAGCAACACTTTCCCTACAGCATCTTCAAAAGTACAAATGCTTATCCCATTATAGTTCAGAGGAGTTACTTAAAGAGGAAACGTCCTTAGCTTGCAATTTTTGGCTATTGCATTAACCTGCATCCATACTATCTTGTGTCTGCTTTATGTGTATCTTAAAATAACTCCTCTCTCCTCTTGAGGAAAAATGGACTCAATTATTACTATATACATTCTCCTAAATCCAAGGGAGTACCATTCTTCAACAACCTGTTCAGTGGACTTAGAAAATAAATAGAAAAGCTATACATTATTCAACACATCTTGGCAACACACGAAAGCCCTTAGAGCAAGTGATAAAGGATCAGATGTCTTCCTCAAATCTTACCTGATTTACTCTTTTTAAAAATCCAACCCTTGCTGTCTACCATGCAAAGCTCCTGGCCACTGGGTGAAATCCAAACTGGGTAGTTGATCATGGTAATTCCAACATGTCATGGGCAGCAGCATCTCTCAAAGTCCCACAAGCCAACTGCTTGAACTGAACCTGCAACAAACAAGGTATTTCTTCATTTTAATTGAAAAACAGTGAACCATGTCCTAGGTCCAGCAGACATCACTACTTAATCAATAACGGAATCATAAAGGAGTATGTGAGGGGCTATAAATGCCTCTCAAGATGCTGATAAACATTAAAGCCAGAAGACTGAAGTTTATGTGCTACAAAAGGTGTTTTTGCTGAATGTATGCTCCTCTTAACAGTATTATTGATCTATTTAAGCTGTCAGTGTAAATAAACATTATTGATATTAAAACTCACACATTTTATGGTGTGTACCCCTTCTCCTTCATGAAGGTGACCACTTGGAGTACCCAGAATATTTTTCTGTCTCTACGCATCATACTCTCAGGGTAACTGAGCAATGCGGTTCAACAGGACCAAACTCACCGGCAGCTAAAGAAAAATCCACATGATGGTTTAGATCAAGGATAGTTTCCTTTGTTAGTTCTCACACTCTGGCCAGTGTCAACATTCCTTGTAAAAAACTTGCATCACGTCTGTAGGCTAGAGTATGAGAAACGCCTTTAAGGGGCATATATGAGATGCTGCAAATTCAACAGCCACCTTTATCCATATGGAGACACAGACTACAAAACAGTAACCAACATGAACACATTGTAGGAAGAATGTGTGCACAAAGAAAATGCCCACAGCCCAGGAAAGTAATTAGATGAGGAAATTTTAGGACACTCTACCACATACCTAATATTTCACAATCTGTGTCCATATGAAGAAATATGCTGTTTAAACTTCGTAAGCATGTTTGACTTCCATTCAAGGAGGAAAAAAAATGCACAATCAACAACTCCTATTTGTACTAATACCTGCCACACAAATGATTCTGTTCAACAGAAATTTAGAAGGATACTAATGAACAGACTAGGCTTATCGGGCTTCCCAGAAGTAACTATTAGATTGCTTAGCTACAGTAACCATATTTAGCTATGCACATACAAAACCAGAATTATTACTGTTTTCTAAATAGTGCAACAGAAATGGCTGAGAGGTCATTCTAAGTCTGTAGGGGGCAACTCGTGTGGATGATTATGTGCTGCCGATTCATGGACACACGTGCAAAACCTGATTTTAATAAGCCACAGAATGCTAGATCCTCATGCACCTGTGATTAGAGCTTCATGTATTCCCAGACATCAATGTGGAGACTTCATTAAGAGGCACAGTAGTGAGACACCCTCTTGTGCCTTTTCAGCAAAAATGGTAAGAAGGCAAGAGGTTGAAGTCAAGTGCCTATCTCCAACTAAAATGCAGTGCTTCAAAATCAGGCCTTAAAAGGAGAGGCATGTATGCCTGTGAACGATCATAAGTGATCGTTCTACAGTTCAGAACAGGAATGTCAATGCTCTTAGTGACACACATAGATATCCATCACCCAGACCCCCCAGCCCCACCCCACCAGCAAACACAGCCAGGCACACACACACCCCTCAAGTTCAGAATGTTCTAAATGTGTTGATCCCAGCTCTGGTATTTGCTAACTAAAACCTTGGTCAACTTATGGATGTAAAATGTTTTATTTCATGCCAAAAATCAGTCTATTTCTTTGCTGCTTTATGTACGCTCTAAAAATTATCAAATCAATTCCCTTATAAAACAAATCTGTTCATGAGCATAATCTTTTTTGGTCTCTTGGCAGTCATGCAGGATATTGAAAGAAGTCATACACTGGTGGACCTAATGACAGGGAAGTATTTATAAACATAATCTCCAAGCTCCCACACTGACTTTGAAATGGAAACATTTTGAAAGCTACCTGCTTTGGAAGCACCTGTCTGTCTGTGCCCTAGTGTGACTTCTCCAACTTGAGTTCTGCAACTTACTACAAAAGAGTAAAAAATAAGTAAATCACTGTAACTACTTGCTTTCTAAAAGGGGCTTTATTTCATTATACCAAAATGATGCTATTGATCCCTTCTTTGAAGGGGTAGGTTGTGTGTATTTTCTTCAGTATTGATGGTTTTCCACTGACTATTGATCACTGACTTATCCATTAACTTACTTATTCATTCCACAGATTTGAATTGAGTACCTCAGTTGTTCCAGGTTTGGTGCCAGATAGAAAATGAAAAGACACACATTCTCCCCTAAAAAAAGATTGCCATCTATTCAATTCTGATTTGTTGGCATATATTTGTAACAAAGAAAGGAAGCCACATTAGACCATATCAAAATAATCGGCCTTACTTTATATCCTACTCCTAGATGCCTGGACCATGGGATTTTATGAAGTTTGTCAGGGAGTATAGCATTATAGGCCAAAGGCAAAGCTGCAATCTAAAATGACTGATTCATACAGCTGACTCATACAAAGCTTTTACTGGATGTGATGGTTTTGTGTCACTCTTAAGTTTTTTTTCCCATAAGCCAATTGACTGTCAAAATAGTGTAGAAAAATCCAACCAGTTAGTACATTGATGTTTCTGGCATCCAATATGGAGTCAGTGCCTCCCAGGTGTGTGTACTGGGCATCACAAACAATCCTGTGCAATCTACATCACAGTTCACAGATTTGTGTTTTAACAGGTGGGGGTGGGGCCTGTTGTACAACAAGTTACTTCATGCAATTTTTGTATAACCCATTCCATTTTTTTTTCCTCAAAGAAGATACATAAAATACATAAAATTAAATGCATGTATTTTTCTCAAAGAGAAATCCATGAGGCATTCATGAGAACTACTAATTCCATGACATTGGTTTGAAACTCTATTCTATGACCAATATTCAGAATGAAAAAAAAATGCTTAAAATAAATTTTTCACTTCTCTCTCTCTTTAAATATGCTGTTGAATAGGAACATGAAAACAAAAGGTACAGAAAATGCTTTAAATAATACTCCTGGAAATTAAGTAGGTTTTACTAAAATCAATGTGGTTTCCAAACAGTTTAATTTTCTTCTATTTTCTCATCTTATGTTTTTTGAGTCTCTGCTTATTACTGGGATGATATGTCTGAGACCAAGCCTTTTAAAATATAAATATAAATGCTATTATCTTTTTTTTTAGAACTTGTATTCTTTCAAAAATGAGCTTTGAATGAGTGCATCGTACTGTATGTAAATTATACCTCAATAATGTTGATAAATTTTATCAATGAATTTTTGACAATGTTCAGAGAGGTTCTAGGTAGGGGCATGGTATACAGAACCTGTTGATAAAACACAGCTGTGCATGAATTTAAAACAAAACAGACCAAAATAAAATTTGAAAATAGTAGAAGAAATTCAAACATTCACAGACAATATTGTTTTTTGCTTCTTGGTCTGGCCTTAAGTGCTTTGTAATTGACTTTTGGTCTTCTTTGTCTTTCTTTATGCACACTAACCACTACCCTTTTAGTTTATCTTACTGCTTTGAAGAAAGCTTTCCAAAGGATCCCCTCAGCACTTAGGCACTCATTTTATAGGCTATTGATTTGTACTTGTTGATATACTGCTCTTTAAACTTTATCTCAGGGACACGCTTCATCTTCCCCATGGAGCTGTGCTGCACAGCCCCCTGGGTGGCCAGCAGAACTGGAAGCGCGTTTAGCACTTTGTGAGCTCAGTGCATTTGTGAAATGACTGCTCAGTGCGTTTTGCAAGCTTTGTATCTAGGTTACTCATTTTCCCCACACAAACATCAAGATATAATCATCAAGAATATAGGAATAAGTAGGTTATCAATGATCAAAGTTGTGAGGCTTTCTGCCTCAGAAATTTCACATAGGTCCCTTTTATAGGTGAGGTTGGGAAAGAGAAGGTGCCACCATTTTTAGTAACAAAATGATTGTGTCTAAATTATTTTATTCTTCTTCATTTAGTCAGATGTAGAAGTCACAGATTATTTCCCAGCAGGTGGGAGTTATCAACAAAAATGTATATGCCCGTTGCTGTCTTATGTACAGTTTCTCATTTCTCAAAAACCATGCAAAGTCTTGTAATAATGTCCACTTTAAGGTGATTAAAATAAGAACCAGAGAGTTTAAGTTATTGTCCAAGGACATAGAGCCTTTGAAAAATGGAGTGGAGATACAGTTCGTTGACAGTGCTGTACTGTCAATTCCACGTCCTTAGAAACTGAGTTTGAGAGATTTGCTCAATATACAAATGAAAATCTGAGGCTCAGGGAAATGAAGTGACATACCAGAGGTCATTAGGATCACAGGAGGATCTGGGTGAGTACATAAACCCCTGATGCACCTGTATTTCTAATACACCACTCTCTCACCCAGCTTACTCAGCATGGTGTCTAAACAACTTTATGGATTTCCAATTCCCTTGGATTTTAAATAACCATGCTTTGAGTAGGTTTTATTTTAGAAAGAAGATACCAAAAGTCAACAAACAAAATAACAGGATTTCTGAGTACTCAATTTTAAATGAGTTAAATTTTCTGAAAGCAACAGATGACAACTTTCTCTCCCTCTTTCAAGCCATTTTTTTCCCAATGAAAAAAATACAGACACAAGGAGAAGACTGTGATGATAGATTGTGACAAAGACTATGATTAGATTAAAATATAAATAGCACATTGGCGTTTTGTGGATGCTCATTTGGTACATTTAGCTACATTATGAGTAATTACAAACTTAAAGTAATCTTCCAAGATACTCATTTAATATTTTTACTTTGGAAACCTGGCAGGCAGGAAGCCCTTTGGGTAAGAGAAAACAAAATTTAGGGCAATTCTATCAATATCTGAGAATGCAGTGCCTCACGCTAACGCATGACAATTCTCTTTGTTGCCATCTTTGCTCAAAGATACCTAATTCTGAATTTGATTATGATCTATAAACTCTGACATTCAAGTAGTCCATATTCCTGTTTGTATTTTCCTAAAATAAGGGATCGAATTAGTCACATTTCTAAATTTTCTACAGATGACACTTGTCTCTACTTTTTTTTCTCTCCTGTGTTTTCCATTCTTTGTTCCTTTTTTTCCTCTTTCCTCCTTTTCTTCCTTTCCCCATTATCTTCTTCTCTTCCTCATCTCTT